TTGACAATGCTTTGCTCAGGGTATAAGAAAGAAAGGTAACTGTTGATCTGGGAGAATGGCTTTTACTCTGCATCTCCCGCACACCAGTGCGTAGCCTCATATGCTAACAAAGGCAGTTTCACTGTCTTTGTTGCTCAGCAGTGCATATGTTACAGCTAATTTCTTTATACAGTATGTTAGTTTGTTTCATTCTAATGTCTGTATATTTGATCATGTAACTTAATAAACAACTTTGCCTGCTTTAAGACGTAGAGATTCTTTCTCTTTATCAATGATGATAACAACTTTAATGGAGTCAGATTAATTACAATGGAGTGAGATAAATAATGGATTTAAACACGCCATCCTTCAACTGCTTTCTGTTTCCGACCATTGGTTCAGAATAGCAGCGTAAGTTTCAAGCCTTACAATTACAACAATATTTATTTTTTTTCATAATGGTTAATGGTTAAAATTTTTGAAAAATCATACAGTCCTCCAACCGCTGTCATCTTTAATTTTAAGTTCAGTTGTCACTCAATGGGCTCTATGCACAGCTAGTGTTTTTCAGCCAATAACAAACTTCCGGTGAAAGCTTTATATGTGAATATTTTCACTTTCATAAGGTTCCTTTAACAGCATCAATGTCGTAATCTAATTACAATACATTCAGTTAAATAGACTTAAGCATTCATTTAATTGTTCAAGTGTAAAACAAGATGAAAGACAGTGTAACCGTTAGCACCATTGCACCATTAAATTGACTCCATTAAAAATACTGTGTTAAAATAATATTTTAAAGACATGGTGGGGTAAAACAGAATTTAATGCAGCGGTTTTTGTCTGATCTAAAACCCACTTTATGTTGTATATCTATCAGGCAATAAAGATCACTGATTTTGAAAGAAATGAGACCTTAAGTGTGGCAAATTTACAATGGAAAGACAATTAATCGGAGGAGCTGAGGCTGGCTGGCTGAAATTAACAGTCCATATGCATATAGCCTTTGAATATGCAGGAGTGTATAAAATATTATATGAAATGATACATAAATATTGCCTTCACTAAAAAATTTAGTAATAAAAATAACAGTTTCAGCTGTCAGATGCAGCCCCAGATAACTTTGATAAGTTTTGTTTTATAAGTGCTGGATCTAAACTTGGCAGAGCAGAGGCTCTATATGAAGATTAATGTACTTCAGTATGATTTTAGGCAGAAGCCATATTCGTGTTGTTTCTGCTATTTTTGTTTTCTTATTTTATTATGTTCATGTCAATTAAAAAATACACTAGTTAGTTACATACTTTTAAAGGTCCCTTTGTGATTAAAATCTTTTATCTATGAAAGGAAATAAGAGTGAAACATTAATAAAATATACAGTTGTTGCAATTCACTGGGTTGTTCAATGATTCTATTTCTTGCAAACAACATCATTATTCTTCATTGATCAGAATTGCTCAGTCTCTGAATCAGTTCATTCAGGTATACAGGCATTCTGACAGCCGGGATTACTTAACCAAGTGGTCCTTTTGATTTTCAAATTTGTGTTTTAAAAACTACATTTTTGATGTTACAATTCACTTGATAATGTGAGAAATGCATCCTCCTGTATGGTAAATATACTAAATAATCTCATATAATAATCTCATACGGTACACAGAGTGTAATTAAGTGTCAAAATATGAACAGACTGTTGATTTATAGAAACATTTATTTTATTTTGCAACAAACTGTAACACAATTAATCATCGTAAGTGGATTTTACAATAGCACTCTATAGCAGTGTTTATTATTCCTATTAACAAACTAAACAGAGATATACACAATAAAATGTACAATGTGATTCAAAAAATTACAAAGTTTGATTCATATATTAATAAGTAGAAACTATTACAATAGTAAATACATCTCTTCACTAGTCAATGTACAATGTGTGTAAACTGTGGAGGTTTTACAGCATCTGGTTTCATTGGTTTTGAGATGTTCTTCAGTGCCTTTATAAAAATACAGCAATAACTGATCATCTACTGGTGGATCCTGAAAAGACCACAGACACTTCATCAGTAAGTATTACACGCTTCTCAAGAGCCCTCCTGATTAATTCCTGGGTAAATTTAGACTCTGGGTTTAAGCATTTCTGCTCAGAGCTCTTCATGGTTACACTGGAAATAAAGGAAAGATCAGCTAAATGTGTTCAAACAGCAGCATGAATGTGTCAATATCCCTGTATAATCGTTGTTTTTGTCCTTACATGATCTCCTGTTTTCCACAAGATGGACTTGGATGGATGATTTCAAACTTCTCAATGTTCCTCAGTGCAACCCTGTCCAGGCCTTTACCGACACACGAGCACCTGTTAAATTTTTTTTGCCCTGGAATGAAAATGAAGACTAATTATCTGCAGAACAGCATCATAAAAACTAATGTTTATCAGAGATACAGGTGTTGAATAAATAGGTGTTAAATTGTATTAAAGGTCCTAATAGGCAACACTCACCATGCACTTGTGTAGCAAGCAGACACGCCAGAAAAACTAAAAATGCAGCAGTCTTCATTGTGTTGAAGGTTTTGATGACTGTTTGAAGCCGTAATCCCTGAAGATGTTTCCCTGCTTATATATCAGCATCACACATGGGCACAGTTCCCCGTTACACTTTCACAGCAGTTTCAATTTCCCATTTCTTTGAAATGCTTACACTCAAAGTTTTGGTTGTTTGTCAGTCTTGTGCCATTTGTTTCCTGATTGATAATTAATTAATTTATAAATGGACTGGCGATTAGGGAATTATAATTGGTTGTACTGCAGGTTTGAAAGTTATTGTGAATTTTGTCAAAAAGTCAGGAAGCAAGTAAAACATTTACACTTAACATATTACAAGTACCAAACCACTTACAGTATAATATTCGGTAACACTTTACAATAAGGTTCATTAGTTAATGCATTTACTAACATGAACTAATCATGAACAGCACATGTACAGCATTTATTAATCATAATTAAACATTTACTAATGCATTATTAACATCCAAACTCATGCTTGTTAACATTAGTTAATGGACTGAGTTAAAGAACTCACAATGAACTACTGTATTTTCATTAACTAACGTTAACTAACATAAATAAACAATGAACAATACATTTACTACAGTATTTGTTCATGTGAATAAATGCATTAAGCAACATTAACTAATGAACCTTATTGTAAAGTGTGACCTAATATTCAATCCCGGACCAGGCCGTAGGCTATCCTGAGCAGCTGCTGTGGTGGTCATGGAGGAGTAGAGACTCCAGGGATAGATGAGTCTTCGCTGACATCCACCATTCTCCAGCCTCCGGCGCCTAGACTGCAGCACTGCAAAAGACATTTGGCCATAGGAGAAATGATCGTGCCCAACTAAGCACCCCTCATTGTGACGTCACTCACTCCATTGAGTGCATTGTGTCTGACATTGCATCGCTGAGTGATGCAATCTCTGCTTGCATCATAAAGGCTGCATCCAGATACTATTGAACTGAGCCTGGTTTTTCTCTAGGTTTTTTATCCTTCACTTTTGCCAATTGGTGAAGTTTTTTTCCACGTCGCTGTCGCCACTGATTTGCATGGTTCAGGACTAGTAGAGCTGTGCATCAATGGATTTGCCCTTCAGTGTTTGGGCTCTCAGTAGTGAATATTAAACCACATTGAACTAAACTAAACTGAGGTAAACTGAACTGACACTGTTTTAATTCACTATAATCTTCTATGTTAAGCTGCTTTGACACAATCTACATGGTAAAAGCACTATACAAATAAAGATTAATTGAATTAAATTGAAAATTCATTCATTATATTTATTCAGTTGTTTAATTCTTGTGGATTTTTCTATATTATTTTGTGTGATTGGCTGTGTTAACAGAACGGATTTAGGCAAACATATACAATGTTTACTTCACCCTCATTTCCTTTCATAGATAATACCTTTTACTTACAAAGGTGCCTTTAGGACAAAAAGTATGTAACTTTTTAATGAAAGTAACTTCAATTTAAAAAGAAACATTGAATCGTTCCTCAAATCCAATCGTTTCCATGTGCATAAATGATCTAAATATTTAAACTGACATAATAACAGCAATATTTTTAATCATGAAATAAACTACCTTGATGATGAAAATCAGTGACCTCAAATTAAACAGAACATGGGCCAGACTTCTGTTTTCAGATCAACAGAAGCAAGCATCAGTTTTTACCAGTGGTTCTCAACCAGACTCCAACGCCCCCTTGTGTTCAAGATAGCCCTCAAAAACCTTCCTGTCTAGCTGATGTCTCCCTACAAACATAAAAAAAACAATATAGGAAATACTGTGAAAATCTTCATGCTCTGTTAAACATCACTAAGTATGTACTTGAAAAATAATTTATAATATTTGAAAAATAATTACAATTTTAAAGGAGGGCTATAATTTTGCCCTCTTTGTATCATATATACATTTCGGGTTGTACCTCTGGGCCCCCTTGCAACTAGTTGTCGCTGGGCCCCTAAATTGCCAGGGTCCTGTGCACTCTGTTGCCCTTCAACAAGTATAATATTAATAAAATAAAACACAAGTTGCTAATATAAATGCTAATATTCATAAACAAATCCTAGTTTAAACATGTTTTAAGGAACCTTATGAAAGGAGGTTTTTTTAGCACCAAAAAGGGTTCTGCTAATATTGTTTCTAGCTGAAGAAGTCTAATTTGGCACTGTTTGAAACCAATTTTTCTAGCAGAGTATAAAAAACAGCATAATTGCTTGAGGAACCAATAACAAAGATAAATCACCTTAAAAATGAAGACACCTTTAATACTTCATAGACATTTAGATTTTATTTCACATTCCACTGACTAATATTAACATCATTTGTTAAATAAGCGGTTAGACATTACATTGTCATATAATTTAAAAACGCAAAGGAACTTTTAAAAGTTCACCCCATAACATTTTGTTCATCATTTACTCCCTCTCAAGTGGTTCTAAACCTTTATGAGTTTTAAGTTTTATCGGTTAAACACAGTGAAGATATTTTAAAAAATGTTGGAAACCAGTAGTCTGACTTTCACATTAAAAAAAGTAGAAATCAATGACTACTATTTTCAACATTCTTTTAAATACATTTTTGTTTGTTTGTTTGTTTCAATAGAAAAACAAAGCTCAAAGTATTTTAACAAAGGTTTAAAACATATAGAGGTGATTAAAGTAAAGTTAAAGAGGGAACAATCCCTTTAAAAGCAAGGTACAAACTGGGCACATTATTGACATTTGAAAATGCAGCTTTCCTCTTCTTTATGCATTTTATTGAGCACTCCTATAAACAAAATATAAACATTTATTCATTATCATTCATTTATATTATGTGAAAGATAAGCAGATCGGGTTATTGAATCAGTATCAAATGTAATGTCACTTATAAGAATCACCTGGTGTTGTTTGCAGTTCTCTGCAAGATCTTTTTGATGAACTTTGACTCTAAATTTAAACATTTTTGTCCGGCTCCGTTCTTTAGCGTGACACTGTTCAGATACACCATAGAGTTATTACAAAGGAATACTCACAGACATCCTAAATTTAAAACTATTAATTAAAAAGAATAATTAATGTACTGTACTGTACTGTATTTGGATGGAAAATGTCAATCTTCAAAATCAGCCTTGGCTTCACGATGTTGACTCCAACACCCTGACACAAACATCTGTGGGATCTAGATTGTGCTGGAGGACAACATAAAGACCAGAGTATTAAAGAACAAAGAAAATAACTGTAAAAGGTACAGTAATTTATTAAAAGATGCAGAAGCAATCTTAGCTTGTTCAATATCAGCAACAGCTAAACTGACAAAGACAAGTAGAGCAGCAACAGTCTTCATAATTGGTCTTTTTGTCCGTGTACTTTCTACCAGTTTGATAGTTTTTGTTTTATTCAGGTCCATTTGACTTTTTTGTTTGTGAGTTATGCCTATTTTATCTCATTGGACAAACTGCACTGTCTTCTTCAGTCAGGCTGGAATACAGTGAATTGAGCCACTGCCAGGTCCAGATTAATGATCTATTAGTAATTCACAAACCATCACGCATCAGAGCTTATTTGGAGCAGAAATTTGGCTGGACACATAACATGTCTAAAAAACACCAAAAAGCTTGTGAAATCAAAAAGTGTAAAAAGGGTCAAAATACAATAGGCAATTGTCCCTTTAGATTAATGGTCTCAAACTCAATTCCTGGAGGGCTGCAGCTCTGCTTAGTTTAGCTCCAACTCACATCTGCCTAATAGTATGTAGTAGTCTTGAACAGCTTGATTAGTTGGATTAGCTGTGTTTGATTAGGATTGGAGCAAAACTGTGCAAAGCTGTGGCCCTCAGGAATGCAGTTTGAAACCAATGCTTTAGATAAACGTATTTGAAGGCCTATGTATCACTGCAACAGAATTTTATGTAAAAAATACTAACAAACATTACCATATGTCCTTGAAATTCATACAGCTGAATCAGCAATTGCAAAAATAAATAAATCAAATAATGTTAATAAGTATAGTTGTAGAAAGGATTGAGAGATCTTTGAACGTGTAGGCAACGTAACAATAATAGGCCTTATAGGATGAAGGTTGAATGAGAACTGTTTTGTTATGCTATAATAGTGTAAATGATGCTTTTATCCAAGGAAACTCTCTCACACAAACACAAACACACACCAGAGGCAGTGAGAAGGATCTGGCTGCAGACCTGGTACAGATAGAAGCTGAGCTGCATGAAATACTTTTAATGTGCGCACCTAATCCCCTAACCCCTAACTAACCCCACCTCTCACAGAGACGTCACTAGCCCCATTGAGTACATTAGTGTGTTGGAGATTGCATTTCAGAGACTGAGTGTTTCAGCTTGTATATGAAAGCCTGTAGTCAGTCACTTTTGGGGTCGGTGAGCTCCTCAAGGAATAGTTGGGGGTATGATGCAGACCCGTAGCCAAGAGGGGTTCGGGTGGTTCAAAAGACCCACCGCTTAATGACAAAGGTCCAGAATTTGATTTGTCCCATATAACCCACTTGAGACACCCCCCACCCCAAAATTTTTTTCTGTGGTTTCTTACATCATTTGGGTTAAAACAATTCTACAATTTAGAGTTTTTACATTTTGTTTTGTTTTTAATTTTACAGCATGACCACAGGACCATATTAGTTAGAAACCACCGACACTCAGACAACAAAACTGTACAGGATATGTCTGTAAAGGGATATTAATCCAATATTAATGCAACAAAAACAAAACAAAGGCCATTTGTCCTTTTGTATTGAAATTCCTGAAACAGTTTAGTCTGAAAAAAAAAAAAAGCTATTCAAAACTGATTGTGATTCTCTAATTGTCTCTAATTCTCTGATTGTCAGACTCTAAATCAGAATCTCCCTCAACTATCTTCTAAAGAATCCTCTCTGCTTCAGTTCTGCCCCCTACAACATGCAGTCATTAATTACATTGAGATGGTCCCGGTGTTCACTATAATGGACATTTAAAAAGGATAATATTTTGAAACACAAACAAGTTAACAGCTTTGAAAGCTAAATGTATTGTTCCTGACACTTTAATAAACAAATTTATATGTAATAATTATAGTAAAAAAATGTAAAAAGCTCAATTTTATATACCTCTCTCCTTCCCATGAAATGTGCTTTTTTGTATGTCAGCCATTTTGGATGCAGAGTAAGAAGTGGTTCCCTAGCATGCCAGCCCATCAAATGACATATCACTAGAAAGCCCAGGATGTCCTCTGACCAGTTCAACAGGGTTTGACAGAGTAGCTCAAAAAATCATGAAAACGCAAAGACCACTACAGAGGACACAAGTTAATGGGCGTGATCTCAGGAGGATATGAGCAAATTTAAATAACATCATAAATAGTGAAAATAACCCATACAAAAAGGTTTTAAGTCCTCTGTTGGCGGTCGGTTCGGTGTAACTCAGCTAATTAGTTTTGGCCAGTGCACACAATTCAATTCGATGAGTTCAACTTCCAGCTGTGTAAGAGGACATACAATCTGAGGTAAGTAAAGTCATATTTTGCTACCGTATTGTGTAGAGAAATAGAGAAAATATTTTAAAAGGAACTTTTATTCTAAATCTTGGACCTTATTCTTAAAACAAAAAAGACAAATGAAAAGTGTGAAGCACCAAACGTGACTAATAGTATAATATATATATGAATAATATTTTGCCTATTGTTGTTCTTGAATTTTCACATGTACGTTTTGGGTTATGATGAACATCCGACAATCTATTTCAGCTAAAGTAGTACTTAAAATATCACAAAAATGCAGCATTTAAATCCCATAATAAAAATAGTAGCCTAAATGAGGGCTATTACCACAAAAAGGTCCACTTTTTGAGGAAAAAAGAACAACCCCTTTCACCTGGCTGAGACACCTCATCAATGGATGAGAGTGCTGGTTATTTACTCCCCCAGTTATAAACCCTGCTACTACTCAAACCTGCGACCTTTGGATCGAGAAGATATAGAGAAGTCCAACTCCCTAAACATTAGGGTATGGCTGGCCAACTTCTCTCTGTGTGTATACAAGAGTGTGTTATGTTGTAAGTCAGAGTAAAATAAAGTCTGTAATAATGCTTGAAAGAGTGAGTTTAGAACTGACTGTGTCTGCCTCCTTATTCAGATTGCACACCTTGTGAATAAAAAAAGCAAGCAAAGAATAAGTCACACTTAATGACCAAATTATCTGGAACTAATGGCTAAAGATGCTATTGTGCAGATGTAAATGGGGCAAAAGGTACAGCTGTGAACATGGGAATGCCCACATTAATATATTATTATTTTTTAAATATATTAATATTAATATAAGTTACTGTGGGCGACACAGTGGCACAGTAAGTGGCACAATCACCCCACAGCAAGAAGGTCGCTAGTTCGAGGCTCAGCTGGGTCAGTTGGTATTTTTGTGAGGAGTTTGCATGCTCTACCCTTGTTAGCGTGGGTTTCCTCCGGGTGCTCCGGTTTCTCCCACAGTCCAAAGACATGTGGTATAGGTGAATTGAACAAGCTAAATTGTTCGTAGTGCATGATTGTAAATAAGTGTGTATGGGTGTTTCCCAGTATTGGGTATCCACTGCGTAAAACATATAGTATGCTGAATAAGTTGGCGGTTCATTCTGCTGTGGTGACCCCTGATTAATAAGGGGACGAAGCCGATAAGAAAATTAATGAATAAGTTACTGTAAGGGGTAGGGCTACGATGAATGTTAATAAAAACAATCTAATGTGTAATTTAATAATTAACTTCTAGGAACAACCCGCTCAACCCCAAAACGCTTGTTTCACAAGACCATCAGGTGACCTGAAAACAACAGATCATTTACAGCACAGATCATCTGTGCCTCATTGCCTCATACATTTACCCATGTGTGTAATCATCACACAGAGAAATGTAGTCATATTTTTGGAGGAAATTATTCTTGCATTTATTTTTTTTGCTATATTATATTATATTATATTATATTATATTATATTATATTATATTATATTATATTATATTATATTATATTATATTATAGGAAATTTAAGGAAAGACTTCCTTTCATCTTTAACAACACAAGCCAATCATTCAGTTCGTAAAATTCAACATGTAATGTTGAAACCAGTTGTTTATCTTCTTCAGGCAAACCGGTTTAAAGTGTCAAGTCATGCTGTCCTGTTGAACATTCTTTACACTGTTGACGACCCACTTGAAGTACAGCACAAACACTGTTGACCGGCTGAGTCACATGCTTCAGTTCAGTCCGTTCACTTCATGCCTTCGGCGTCATCTGGAATCCACCCATTCAGCTGTGCTCAGACAAGCCCTGACAAAGACTAGCCAAATGAAAAGCTTGATTTATTCTAAAAAGGCTGAACTATAGTGCATATTAAACATACAGTTGAAGTCAGAATTATTAGCCCCTCTTTTCGTTTTTTTTTTTCTTATTTTTTAAAGATTTCCCAAATGATGTTAAACAGAGCAAAGAAATTTTAACAGTTTCTCTGATAATATTTTTTCTTGATGCCCTTCCAGCCACAATCCATCACTGGGAAACATCCAGTCACACGCACACACTACAGACAATTTAGCTTACCCAATTCACCTGTACCGCATGTCTTTGGACTGTGGGGGAAACGGAGCACCCACTCAAATGCAGGGAGAACATGCAAACTCTACACAGAAATGCTAACTGTCCCAGCCAAGATTCGAACCAGCAACCTTCTTGCTGTGAGGTGACAGCACTACCTACTGCGCCACCACGTCGCTGTGACATGGTGTTGTTTAAACAAAAAATTGTTGAATGAGATCAGTATTAAACATTTTATTACTAACATAATTTTCTTTCAAAGACCTGTCATGAACATATCACAGACATATCTTTGTAAATGTTTCCCTAGTTTACAGAGATATTCAATGTGCTAAAATGTTTAAACAGTACTTATTATTACTGTTATTATTTATAAAATATTTATGTTGCTATCAAGTTAAGTTACATGAAGAGTTTGAAGACTTTCATGTGACAAATACTCACACAAATGTTCAAGGTACACAAGGACAAACACTCATCTGAGCTCAGTGTGGTGATGTGGCACCTGGTGACGTTTATCAGTGGGTTGAGCAATTACAACAACCAGCAAAGTTCTAGAATTTGTCGAAACATTTATGTTATATATTTCCTGAAAAAAATT